GCTGTCTATCCACCGGTTGTTTGGTCCCGTGTTTCTCTTGTTTCTCCTGTCCTTGGTTTGAAGATGAAAATGAAATGTGTTTTTTAAACCTGTCTTCTTTCTCTTTCCACACTGAGCTGAGCCGAGCGGCTGTATGTAAATGCCCGGTGAAGGCTGATATTAACTGAACGGAGGGATCTCTTAAGTGCTGCATTAATTTCTCCCCAGACACTTTCGCCCTTCTCAGATCTGTAACCCCCCCTCCCACTCTCCTAATCTATGGTGATGAAAGATAACATACGGTGAGCCTAACACACCCCGGTTAGGGACCCTGTGGGTGTCTCCATGAGCGCTTATAGAGTCTATCCTCTCCCCTGGGGGTATTCCACAAAATTTTGCTCTTTAAGACCCACAAGTAAAGTGAGGTACAGTGAAGTAAAGTAAAGTTAAAGTAAAACGAAGAAAGGTAAGACGAGAGACACGTAAAGAGAAGAGGGCTGAACAGATTGGAGATATGGGGCTACACCAAATAAATTGAATGGAATTGAAAAGTAGAAAAATGAGAAGTGACAAGAAGTAATATCATGTCAAACCAAAAGAAGTACAAAGAAGAGAGGAGAAAATAAAAGTCGAAGGGCGGGCAAATTAAGTGGGTTAAGATACGAGAAAGAAAGGGGGAAAGAAAAAGACGAGTAGCAAGGAGATGAAGTGGACTAAGATACACCAGGACAAGTAGAGAGGAGCGTCAAACAAACAGAAACAACGAGAAGAGAAGAGACCGTTTAAGACGGGTGAAGTGAAGGGAGGCCTTCACAGGTCAGCTTTCTGTCGTCACTAACGCTGTCCCTCCTGGACGCACTCACACTGTTTAGCATATCACAGGGGGTCCTCAGGGTGCGGCTGTCCTCACTCATGCCTGGATTTACCTGCTCTGATCAAGATAATAACCCAGAGGTCGGTGCCTGCCCGAGGAATGATGGGGAACAGCAGAGTGGCTGTTCCCCATCATACCTGCAGCCCCCCCCCCCCCCCCCCCCACACACACACACAGTGTCTCACACACACACGCACACAGCCTGGCGGCAGCATGTCGCTGGCTACATGCTCGTGCTGCTCGAGGTAATACATTAAACCAAATTGCAAATCAGGGTGCGAAAGGCCGACCCGGGGAGAAGCTGTCTCTATCCATCCGTGTGCGGTGACTAAACATCACAATGGAAGAATCACGCCGGGGCTCCAAAAATGAACGCCGACAGTTGCAAACCGCTCAAAATGAAAATAAAGGAAAAAAAACTAGTTTTTCCTATTCAATACAATCTTGATGGGAAACATTTTCGTTCATCCCTTTAATCTCGCCCATTTGATTATTTTTAATTATGTATTTAATTATTTTCAGCAATTTGACTTGTAAACCTTTCGGGATTTCAATGAAATGCTTCAGTTTTATAGGACGGCTACAAAGTGTGCAAGTTACATGGGACCGTGACACATGATATTATTCATCAAAATTAGTTGGTACGAGCTTCTTTTTCACTAGAGGAGAATATAATTAAATCTGGATCAAATTCAGAGATATAGATGACGTTTGCCCATTTATTGCACATATGGGTGCACAATATGACCTTGGATGAGATGTGAAGGTTTAGAAAGGGCCTTTAAAAGTCATCCGGACTTTAAAGGCATTACTTTTAAAGGATTCTCTTATCCTGTAGCTTTATTTATTTGTTAATAAAAGGACATTTTCCTAAAGGTTCGGTGAGTTTTTTTTTAAATCACAAAATTGAAAAACAAAACCCTACCTCACCTTACCTAACCTGCTTATATTGTTGTATTCTGATCTTTCTTTGTAACATTTTTTAATAAAAGTTTATAGAATAATTTGTTTGCTTATCCAGCCTGTCTGTCGAAATATAAGAATGATTGACATTTCTTTCAATTTTACAAAAATGTATGGATTAAAATCTACTTAATACTTTATTTATACGTATATTAATACATAATGAAAAACATTAAACGGATTAGCTAAACTCACTTAAGTTTACTCTAGCTTCAAAATGTCTTTTCATTTTATTTCAGGTGTGCGTGTGTTAAACACATTGTTATGTACTTTTCTTAAGTATTAAGTATTTATTAAGTAATTTATTAAGAAAAGAAATTAAGAAAAGAAATTAAAGCCCAAGTTTTGGTGGAAACTTTATACCACATGTGGCATGGCATGTTAAAAATCTGAGTGAGACAGACAGCTCGATTTAGCCATGACAGACCATGCAGAAAGAACAACGTGGGGGGGTCCAAATACGACACAGGGAGGGGTCAAGTTTTACTGAGACGCAAGTCAGGAAAACTGAGGGATTTAGTAACCGATATAAGGGAGAAAATGAGAAAGAAAGAGGCTGTGGAGAAGGTGAAGGAAGAGGAACATGGGAGGCTGGGAAAAGGAGTAAATGAGAAAAAAGAATCCAAGCTATTTGACACTGCTCAACAGCCGCCAGCTGACCGCTATTTCCAGCAGGAGACGATCCACCAGCTGTGGGAGGGGAGCGGGAGAGCACACACGGAGACAAGAGAAAGGGTGAGGACGAGCGAGAGAGAGAGAGATGGGAAAGACTTTTTTCTCAGTCACTCAAGAAGAGTGACAGCAAAAGAGCTTCACCTCCTGACGAAGTGGAAAGGGGAAGCGGCCAGTCCCAGTTCCCACTGGTGTTTCACCCTGTGGACTAATCACAATGTCCCCTCTAAAGCCCGGAACCCTAAGCTCTGAGCCCTGCGCCCCAACCTCTACTAAATATTTGATAAACAAGATGCTACCTCACCGTACCCAACTCCTTAACTCCTTCCTACGGAAGCCCTGATTGCTCAAGGGAGAAAGAAATCCCAACCGGGAACCCATTTTAGAGGTCCGATGGGGCAGAACTCAGGTAGACAAGAAGAGCGGGTCATGCGCCAATTGGAAGATTGATGGTTGGTTCCCTGGCTCTTTCAGTCAACATGCTGCCGGGCAAGATACTATTAGTTTACTTTAAGCGTTCCGTGATTAAATTCAGTGGCAGCTAAAGCGCTGACGGGCCTCAAATGGTTTGCGATTGGTTCCAGTAGCGTTGACCCCAGAGAATGGATCACTCCAGAGTACACTAGTTGTGTACTTCTCAAGTACACTACACTGTGTTCCTCCACGAGCTCCACAACTCAACAAGGTCAAAGAGATCAGCTGTTTTTAGAATTGATCATTATCTTTGTCAACATCCTTTTGGCCAGAGGAAGAAAGTGCTCATGGGAAACGTAGTTTCAAGCAGACAGGCACCTGAGCAGCTTGAATACACCGAAAGGATATATGTTGAAAAATGTTGAAGAATATTAAATTATGACAGAGCTATGTGGGATGACACGCGGCACAGTTCTTTGTAAGATCATGCATATAAATACTTTTTACTGAAGACTTGGAAGGAGCGGCATCCTGCTGTGACCCGGTCCCCTCTCTGCAGTCTGCGTAATCACGCTTTCAATTGCACTTCATCACATCATAATTACATCTGTCACATGGAGGCAGCGCTTCTACACAACGACAGCAATCAGCCGCAGCAAGAGAACGTCCGATGCATGTGAGCATGTTTTCCGTCTTTCCTTCAATAGTAACAGTTTGATCGGATCAAAAGGCAATCGTTTATTTGTGGTTCATTTGTGTATTCTCCCAAATCGGTCCTTCAATGAGAAACACGGACATATATTTCATAAATGATCTCATTAAATACTCTGAGATTAAAAGAGATTTATGTCTGTAGTTTACCAGGCGGTGAGGCATGTAGAACTCCAGTGGGATTTTGGAGGCTGATCTCTTCTTTCAGAGGCACATAAGTGATATTTCCTGCGCTTTATCAAATTGATACTGTATATATGTATATAAATATAGAGAGAGTTAGACGCTTCCTGTCACAGTCTGTCATTCGTTTGCGTTAGACCGGTCTAGACCAGTTTACTGGATGCACTTTGCTGGACTTACAAACAGACTTTAGGTACGCTCTGGCTCACTAAACATGCGGCCGTCATGATAAAACCAAAAGCATCTCTTTGTTATTAAACTTGTCATCACTGGCTGCTGGTTAAAAGAAACATTTGTGTACCTTAGTGATTTTCAAACTGAATGGCCAAGCTCTTTCCCACGCTGTTGATGCAAATCAAGTAAATGTTACAAACACATTTTATATCAACTACCAGTCAAAAGTCTAGCACACTTTCTCATGAAATTGAATAACAAAACGTGTCCATATTTTTACTGTATAGGCTTTTATATAATATGTTTTTGTCAAGTACGATCTATGCTGTATGATTTTTGCGATTATTAGCACATTGAGTCTACGTCTGTCACGGAAATGTGCTATTTAAAAGTACGGAAGCACAGAGAAAAAAAAAGAAACTAGTGATTCTTTGTTAGTTAATCATGAAAAGCCTTTCTAACTTTCTAAGATTTCTTCTTTTGGTGTTGTTGGGATAAAGCAGATTTTGTAATGCTTGTTTTCCGCCACAAGGGGCTGAAACGCTCATAAATAGAACTAAAACGATTAATATTGTCTTTTTAATATTCAAGTTTGAATAATACAACTTTTTAACACAATCGATGTGAATATAGGCTATGAATAAATTAAAACTAAACTAGGAGAAGACAGGAATGCCAACTGGAGCACGGTGTGACGTCACACTTCAGCATCTTGTGGTCCAGATGAGTATTACAACAATAACCAATTAAAAAACAAGGCATGGAATTTAACTAGAAAATGGATCACCAGCTTATTTTCCCCTATTTTCACCTCCCATTTGCTTGCATGGCTGAAAGGTCAATCAGGAATTTAAAGTGGTTCTCTCACACAGCTGACTGGACCCCTTCGAGCGGATTCATAACTGTTTCAATACACTAATATATTTTCCAAACAGCTTGCTGTGACGTCAGTCTACTGAAAAAAAGTTGATGTCTGTCAGCAGTTGTCATTGAGTCGTCGATGTCACACACAAAAGCTTTGATCTCCTACCAGATCGACACTTGATGATCTCTCCGAACTCGTCCTCCACCGGCTCGTTGCAGTAGTCCTCGGGGCGCACGGCCTCCGCCATCGATTATGGGTCACCGGGGGGGAGTGTGACGAAGTGGACACTTCGAATCGACCAGGAGGAGGGGGGGGGGGACTCCCAAAACGCCAATACGGAACAAACAGCCAAAAGGTGGAGCGCGAGCGGGTGACACGGGAACCGAGCTCCGGCGGGCGACTTGGAAGACAAAGTCAGGGGGAACCGGGCGGGTTGTTGGAGAGAAGGATCGGAGCAGGTGCGCATGGAGAGTGTGTGTGTGGGGGGGGGGGTCTGGCTGTCAGAGCATTCCCACCTCTAAATAGATGGATGCTAGGGAGGTGGTCTCCGCGGGGGCCTCCGAGGCGCCATGCGTAAAACCCGAGACCGAGCGGACGCTCTGGGACAACGAGCTCGGCGCCAAACGTCAAGGTGAGTCAACCTGTTGGACCTCCGGTTGGGGGGGGCACGTGACAGGCCACAACCAAAAGTGTTCGTTCCTTTGCCGCGCGTGGATTTGGGTCGTGGCAGTTATTGGAAAACTGACATTTTAATCCACTCTTACTATTATTAGGCCAACTGGTGAGCTGATAGCGCCACTTTGGATTTCCTGGCGGTTCAAGGAGAGAGAGAGGTGGGAGGGGGTGGTGGGAGAGGTGGGAGGGAAGGGGGTCGGTTACTCTAACGGCTCCGTTGCGTGCGACGTGCCGCGCATTTATGAGTCTGCTATTATTAGGTACATGATGGCATGATGGGTCCAGGCGCGGCTTTGGAAACAACGGCTCCAAGCTATACTGAGAGAGAGGGGGGGGGGGGTCCAAAAACAGAAACCTCGTCACTGAGTGACATCCTGAGCAGCAGACTGTCTGGGCAGGGAGGGGGAGACCTGTGTAGCTCAGCTGCTCCAGTTGCTGAGGGATGTTTAGGGAAACTTTAATAAACCCATATTTTGTTGACTTTTTTCAACTACAGCCTCAGGTAGGACGTTTCAAGCCTGTTGCACCTGGAACCACGCCCAGCAGTGACGTCACGGAGTACTTACAGTACATCACAGCAGCGGAGTATAAATATTTATATATTATGAGCATTTATGGCAAAGCCATGCTCACTCTTCTGCATAACGGTGTAATGATATGATTTATATTGTTTATCCGCCGTTGTAGCATTTCTGTTGTATACATATACGTTTTTTGTGCTTTTTTACTCATTCATATTTTTACTATGCCCTGTATACCAATGCACTTTTAGGAAAGTGCTCACACAACAATACCCGCATCAGTATGTGACAAACACGGGGTTCCGAGAAGCAGGCGAGCAGGAAGAAGACGGCCGTCTGCACGCGGGCGGTATAGAGTTGGTGAAATGCCTTTGAAGAAGGTAGTAAGAGAAGTAGTTCATGCCTCAGTTCATCTGTTCTGAAATGTAAAGTTCCATTAAATGGATGTTTCACTAAATACTTCTTTATATCTGTTTCTGAAACACGAGCTTGTTTGAATGCTATGAAATAAACCTCAAAAATGAAAAAGACCACCTTATTGGAGTATTTCTATTCGACGCCCCCTGGTGGTCACACCGTGTAATGACCCGTAGAATGAGACAATCCACCAGCAGGCCTTGTTTCTTGTTCATTTGTTACTTCACAACGCTCCCATTTAGATTGTGTTGTATTAGAAAATGAAGAAACGCCGGACGGACAGAGGTCATCGCAGATCAAAGGGTTAAATCAAATGTATTTAATAAAAGAGATGGTGTTGTGGTAAAAAGAACATCTCAGCTGAGGAGCCGCTGGTCTCAGCAGCCAACAGGCCCCAGGTCAGTCCTTTGACCATCCCTAGTGCCCGTCTGTCGCCTCCACCAGCGAACTCGAGAACAATGGTTCCTACAGGTATTTATAACAATGCTTAAAGGTGTGAAAGTTAGTGTCCACACCTCTGGGAGTGGTCTTCTGGTGAGTTCAATGTAACTCGGATTTCGAATGACCCTTGGTCAATACCAGTTGTTGTTCAAGTATTACATGCATGCATTCCAGTTGATTACATTACATCAAATACAATCATAACTGCACATTGATGTTATTATATTACAGTTGCAGAATTACAGTGGTTTTACAATATTGTCATTACTTTATTGATTACACAGTTTCAGAATAATGGCTGTATTCTGTTGTACACTATATGCATTTTTATTAATTTTATGAACCGGGTCGTCAATTTGTTTCTAATATCCTACAATTGTCTTAGATACCAATACATCTCTCTTATGACACTTTGAGGAAAATAAATAAACAGGGCCAATCTAACTGCGAGAATCTATAAGGGCATATACATATTGCCTGGGAGGTTTTCACAACAATGATATATTCCTCTTAAATGTTATTCACTGATTGATGCTACACTAAGTCTTTGAAATATTAGTGCCTTTTCAGACTTACCAAACAGAGGGCAAAATATCTTTCTGAAGAATATTCCATATTGTTTCTGCGAGTTTCTTTATCTATGTCTTAAGATCCTCTGTGGAGCTGTCAATCATTTGCAATTGATCCAAGTAAGATCTTCGTTTTCTACTTTGTGTGTGTTTCACACATCGTGATGTTTCTGCTTTGTCGTGGCAGAGTGTGCCCAGCAGGGGGCAGTCCGAGCTCAGGATAGACAGCACAGTCGGAACCTCTACTGTAAACTGGACCAGTGAGTCTTGGAGAAGATCTTTTTTGGAGCTGCACACCCAGACAGCCACTGATTGGCCGATTGATGCTAAACGAGGCTTAGTGCTCGGCAGACGTCGGGTGCTGATGAGAGCTAATCCAGGTGGACAAGGCATGCCGCTCCTCAGCCGACCTCGGCATCAGGAGAGGGTTGGCAAGGAAACCGTGTTTCTCTGCTGGAGGTTCCCTTTCATCAGCTGTGCGGGTGAATGAGCTCTGACTCTACTCACTCATTTGGCCGTGGCCGCCTGTGACGGCCCTGCCTATTGGTTCATGTCTGTGATGTCATTGTGTTTCTCCGAGGTGATACCATCAACCTGATTGAGAGCAGCTGGGGGTTCCGGCGGTATAAAAGCGCATGGTTGCTGCCTGCTGCTGTCGCTGGTTTCCCAGGCCAGCGTCCGCATCTTTGTTTGGGTCTCGTTGCGTTTCATTTGTGTTCACAACACTCTACCTTGCATGATCAAGCACCCACGCTGACAATAATATATTTTGTAGTCATTTGACGTATTTGCTTCACAGAATATTGTAATTTTATGAATATATATACAACAATCATTTGATGAATCAAATAATACTGAATGGAAACAGATTAAAGTAAAGTCATCACATAAATAAACAATCAAATTAACAATTTTAATGACGTATCGATGAACCACTTTAAAAAGGTCTTGTGCCTGCTCTTACCTGGGAATACAACAGCATTATTCAGAGGCAATTTGTTACTTTAGAGGCAATCAGCAATCAGGAGCAACATTGGGTCCCGCATGAATACCAACTATTATGTAACCTGGCAAGATGCTTTTCGTTCTGGCAGACGTCCTGGTGTTCCCTGCAGCGGCTGTCACACAGCAGCAACCACACTGCACTTCACTCTGCCCCTCTCGAGCTCCTCTTGTCACTCACGGATCCTCTCAGCCAGAAGTCAAATGAAATGGAAATGGAGTGACTGATTTATACATATACCTGTATGTTATACCTGCTCTGACTTTACAGGTCCTTTCCCTAAAATGATTACTTGGCATTGGATAAATCCTCTGTGGTCTCCCAGTGGTGGTGTATATGTTTGTCTATTTATGTATTGTTATGTCTGTTTGTACCATCCTGACAAGTAAAATTCCTCATATGTGCAACATTCTTGGCAAAAATGGTTCAAATTCTGATTCTAATTTACTTTCGGCTCTGATGTCACAGTTGAAGCTTATAAGTTTTACTCTTTCCTGGGTGAAAATCTTGATTTTTCTGACCTCCAGGTTTAATACTCTACCTCGTGCGTAACCCGCATTCATATGGAGTCTGTGTAAGAGAAGCAGACCACCTCAGCTATCATCTGACCTCTGCTGACGACTCGGTGGAGGAAGTCTTTGCCTAAATATCCGCTTGGCCCAGAGATACCGGCCTCCAACCGTCATCAGATGGACACCCGATGGAGGATGTTGCGATGTTCCCCTGTACACCTGCGCTACGAATTATTAGTGCGCTCGCGTAAATGTACTTTGATTCAAACGTAATTTTGCCATTTTCTGTAAATGGTGCTGATATTTGCAAATATTTATGTGGATGGAAACCTGACTAAGCTTGGGAGGAAAATGTATCACAGACTGAACCAGAATAATAAGGTCTGAGAGAGCACAGCATGTTTTTAAACAAAGAATATGCTAGCGTAGTTATATATCATAATCAGTCCCCTGGGTGTACTTGATTAATTCTACCTTAGGATGCTCCTATTTGACAACTTTAACTAGAGTGCATTACTGCTGTGTATGTTGTGCTAAATTTAGATAACAACCACGCTGCTTGTGTAAGAAAACACTGGAAGTGAAATGAGCTCGACGGAGATGAGAAGAAAGAGGACAAAAGAAAGTGACCACGGAAGGAGACGGAGACGTTCTGTTCAGTGCTTTAATGTGCCAACGTACAAAGAGATAAATGCTGATTACTGACATCTCTACAATGGCATCTAAAACCTGCCAGCACACAAACACACTCTGCCACACACACACACACACACACACACACACACACACACACACACATATATACACACTTCCTAAATCCCTATGCACATCATTAGACAGTGTTTGGCTCCAGTCTACTAGAAGATGATGCATAACACAGTGCTGTCTCCGTTGGCAAGCCTCTACTTTTCATCAGTAAATGAACACGCAAGCAGGTGCTAATAGCTACGGGTCAGAAACGTACATGGAACCAGCACGGTTCAGACAACAAACAGGAAGATGACATATTTAGAGGGAGTTGTGTTGGTGTTTGTGGTTCTCCAGAACACTGAGAATGTATTTACTACATCCAAGTACTTCATTAAAAATCAAAGCATGTAGGTCATTTCTGAAAGCGGGCGCAAACATATTTGCATTGTCATTTGGAATCTCATAATTACAACCGACACAACATCGATTCCAACACCTCATTAAGAAACCAAAACACGCCGCAACGTCTGCTCGCTCCTGAAGGCAGCAGCGAGGGGAAGTCGGGGTGGGTTTGTTGTCTGTTTAAATCTCGGGTGGAAGACGACGTAATAACTGCAGTCAGTGCCGCTGACTGAAAAAGAAACGTACAAACTAATATTAGATGCTGAAAGTGTTCAATTCTTATTTATTCCTTGAAGTAATAATACAGATTCCATAATGAACGATACCCCAGGAAGCCACCGAATACGGTTTCATGAGCATGTTGGAGAACAACGGTGGCCTTCAGGTAACATCTAGGTGGGGAAGGCGCTCTCAAGAGCCAGCCACTTCGTTTACATGCACCCGGTATTACGCTTTTTGACCGTATTACGAAAAATACCCTATTCCTAATGACATGGCTAATGAAAACGAATACTCGGCTAATACACCTGTTTACATGCAGTCGTGCATTTTGCGATAAGCCTCTTCCTCATGAGCGGGGCCGGTGAATTCCACGTTGACGCCATTGTGGACCGAACTCGTTGTTACAAACTACAGAAGCCATTTTGTTTCCTTGCGCCAGGGTGGTCCATCGGGGGCTACCGTAGACCTTGAGGTGCAACACGGTGAAGAGAACTTGAGGACCTTCTAAGCTAACAATAGCACACTAATTAAATCCTAGTTTGGGGATATTATATTCCACTTCTGCTAAAAGTGGTCAAAAACTCCTACACCCGGTTCCTTTAACCCTTCTGGGGGGGATTGGAAATGTTTCCTTCAGGTTTTAACCAAAGTCTGCTACAGCGTTAGTGCCTCAGGCTCCTCTGCACCACCAAAGCACAGAGACTGTCTTCGATGCACTAGAAGCCACGTTATCTGTCCCACCGGGGTGACGATCTCCATCACAGCGCTGTGCCATCGTGTCGGGACTTTGGTTCCACTTGGCTTTCATGTGAAAAGTCGGTAGAGAAAAAAGAATTTCATCCGTGATCTGACAGGAGATCCGGTGACCCAACACAAGCTAAACACTGATCAACCCGTGCCCCCCCCTGACTGAACCTGTTAAGCTGGGATATCTTTCTAACTGAACGATACTGGAGAGCAGGGTCACATGCTGACAGGCGACTGCTGACCCATATAGCTGCTGTTGCTAATGGATTCATGGCTGTAACAATGAGCTCTACTTCTGTTATTGGTCAGTGCTAAATAGAAAGATGGGGGGCCGCTGGGGGCATCCAGTCACTAAAATAATCCACAGACTATTTGAAAGAAGAAAGAGAACTTGATCTAATTTATCCACAAGTTAGTAGAATATCCACTGTGATTTCACAACATCAGCGTGTCATCCTGAAAAGGCTTGTACGGTGACATTAGGTGACATTAAACGTTACCAAATTAATATAGTATATATTATATTATAGGCAACATGTTACAGAGCAAATATTTTGAAATTGCAGGGTACCAATGACGATATATTAGAGGGGAAATTAGAGAGTGCCTATGGAAAGGGCCTTTCCATGGGGTGACTGCCCTGTTACTGTCCATTTAAGCGGAATTTATGAGGTACACTTTTTTTTTTACCCTGGAAACATTTCTTTTTAACCAAATTGACAAACAAACTTGATAAGTGAGAATTTGGGAAATACTACTGTTTAGTCTCTTTCCCAGAATCAGGGGTGAAAACCAGTACCACTCACATGGCTTACATCTAAATGTTGTTAGCTTAGCATAAAGACGAGTAATCGGCACAGACCTTTTACTGCATTGCGTTCACTAATGGAGCTAATTTTAGAAGCATTGCTTTTTTGTGACAGACAGAGCTCATTACTGTTGTGTCTGTGGTAAACATCATGCTGTCAGTTTATTTGAAATGAATGGACTTCTGTCAGCTGCGACTGCACAGTTCTATATTTTGTTACGGTGGCGAGGGACGTAGCCTGGATCCTATTTTTGGGGGGGCGGCGGCTTGACAGCTCCCTGTCAAATATGTGACGACGCAGAGCACCGACAAGACGCCGCCTGTAAATTTAATCCGGAGAGTCCTTATTTTATTTTTGACTTGTGAAATTGCAGGGTGGGGGTTTGAAGGGAGACTGGGGGTTACAGGGTTGGACAAGTAACTCGGCCCATGGGGCTGAGAGAGAAAACATAAAGAGGTTTTCGCTCAATGAAAGCAGAAAAAGGCTTCATGTGCGGCTTTATTGCCTCATAAAATCTGTATAGAAGTTGTTTGATTTGCACCCAGATATTGAATCGCAACCATGGCTACCATGCAGACAACTCACGATTAGAGCCAAACCCAAAGGAATATTTAAATCAGCCCGTTGGGACAGGAACTCAGCAATTATCAGATGTTCTTTTCTGTACGGTGCTCATGCCTTGATGTAGGAAACAATCAAACTTTGTGTCGTTATGAATGTCTCGAATTCCCAGCAACCATATAATAACACAACAATACTGATATTTCACAACTTCAGTGGCTATGTTTATATGCACTATTGACTCCTCACACCCGGAGTCAGCCGATCATGTGATTGCGTCCTTGAAGGTCACGCTGATCCGAATAAAGTATTTCTTTATTTTTAGATGTCTACAGTTCGTACAGTAAACTTCCACCGTATAGGTTCACCTGTTTTTGTAACTAACAACCTGGTTCACTTTAGGGTTTAAATTAGTAGGTTTTTATGTAAAATAAGTGTACATAGGCTACGTCCCTTACTTAATGGCTCATAAGCTCACATCAACACACACGTACACAAAAACCTTCCGATATCGAGCCTAAACCCTTGAGTTTACTGGAATGAGTATGTTTTTGTTTTTCTAATAAAGTTAGACGCCCTCCACGGGTGTTTCTTTGATTTTTACATCCTTTCAGCTGAGTCCATAATCAGATTACTGTGCTGCAATTGCAGAGAGGTTGACTCCATGTATTGATGTGCATGTAAACATGCCCACTATGTGTGGTTTGGGGGGGCGGACGGAGGGGGGGAATTGCTCCGAGCGTCACCTCAGCTCATTGGGAATCAAAGAACCTCTGCGGAGCCTTTGGAGGCAGCCGAGCGTGGTCCCGCCTCACACCTCCCGGCCGCGGCTAATCAATCGGGACCGCTCCATGTGCGCGCCCCCCGGGTTGCCAGGGTAACAGACAAAGTGGGTCGATAAGGGAATATTGAGCTGTTGTCTTAACTTTTTTTCCACCACACCCGCTACCCTCCGTTAGGAATCTCACTGTCGTATGAAAAGTTATGAAGCAGTGAAGTGTGGCATCTGATCCTCTCCGCCGAGGGGGGGGGGGGCTTTCTGAGGCCCAGCGGGAAGATTTGATGTTGACGGGTGAGGATGCGTATGTGACTCTGCATAAGTTCATAAACATAATGCAAAATCCTCTCAGCCTCCCTTCCTGTCTCACAAACCACCAAAGGTTGGGTTGCTACAAGTGTCTTCCAGTTTAGTCAAAAAATGAATCCCCAATATCGCCCCGCCCTACTGATGCAGCATACACCCCCAGAATTCCCCCCCAAAATACGACATATTGCAGTCCTTACAGTTCTTCGAAACAGAGCTGTTGAAGAAGAAAAAAAGACGGTTTAGCCCCATTGAATACCTCCTCCAGCACGAAGAGTTCTAACTTTCCATCAGAGTTAGTAATACTCCTCATAGCTCTTGGGGTTGAGGCAGTAGAGGACCCCCCCGCCAAAGGAGAAGATGGTCCCCCCCCAGGCCAGGCCGTAGCCCCAGTTGAACTCGTGGTAGATCCTCAGATTGATGCTCTCGATGAACTTGATGGGGTAGAGGACCAAGCTGCAGGCCTGCAGGACAACTAGAGCAGAGGAGCAGACAAATAAGCCCAAAACAAGGGAGCATTTCCTGGAGGGGACATATGACGAAGTTCATACTTTTATGAGGTTTTTTTTCCTGGAACATGTTTTTATGTACAAATAAAAAAATATATCTTTTTTGTATAGTGTATTTGGCTGCTGTGTATAGAACCTCTGTCTGAAACTTTGTTTTCTTTTTAAATTTGTTCTGTGTAATTTAGCCATTAAAAAACAAGGAAAAACGCTGTATGAATCCTTTAAAGCTTCCAAACTAGGGGGTGAATATCTAAATAATATCTAAATTAGTATTTATTGAATCAAAGGGATGTTCTTGGAAAACCTAGGGCAAGTCTGGGGATTGAATCCCATCATCTTTTTTCACATTTCTTTGCAGCCACGTACAAAACACTTTCAGGATGCACCTCATAAATTAGCATTGACAGGCCCGAGAAGAGAGTCACGAGCCCGGGGGGGACGTCATTGAGCTCGGTTTGGTTTGTTGGGTGCTTTTTCGAAGAGCAAGATGAATCAAACTTGATTGGGCAGGAGGCGATGGGAGGGGATGATGGTGGAGGGGGAGGAGAGCGGGCGAGCAGGGGGAGACTTAAGTGTAAACGGCACAAGTTCAGAAAGGGATGAGGGGAATGAGGGGGGAGGGGAGTGAAGAGTTAGATGTTTAAAAAGGGAGGAGGGGAGAAAGATGGATGGCAGTGGAACAAAGGAGAGCACATCAATGGTTATTTTTTCAAAGAGAATTTATCTTGTGGGAACATAAACAAGCTCTGGCACGTTCAACAACAACAACAACAACAACCGGGATCTCCAAAAACATGCTAGTATTAAAACTCGACCGGTGTGGAAAAGACTTTAAAGAGGTATAAGTTGTCTGGTATTGTGTCTGTGATCTATCTATTAATAAGGGGTCTCTTTCTAGTGCAATCCAAATACACTTTGCTCGGCTTTTAAGATATCCCTTAGAGAGGCTTTTGTGCACTGTCATGGTGACAGAAACAGCTTTTTGATTAAAAATAAATTCCTAGATTGATTTTCAAAGTTCCAACGTGATATATGAAATAACAATTTGTGCAGAATTGATTATTGAATGAAGGCAATGCATTTGTATTTTCTTTTTCAATTGAAAGGCTTCTCTATTGGATTGGTGTATGAACACATTTTATTCACGGTTCCGATAAATGGTGTTATAAAACTATGAACAACGTAATCCAGGTTGAAGCACCTGTGGGTTCTTAATGGGGTTCTTATTCGACGGTACCGTTTGGCATTGCAGCAGATTTTCTTGTTGTTTCTTGTGTTTCTTTAATAAAACACATTGTAAAACATTTTTAGAAAGGCATGGCATTAATCAACCAAGTTTTAAATGTTCGGATTTGAATAAACTAAAAGCCACTTGGGTATAACGAATGATAAAAATAAAAAAACTATTTGAAGTGAATTTACGGTGGGGAAAATATTTCACTATTTTCACATCGTGCCTCTTTATAAGCTGGAATGGCACACACCTTTTTGCATTGTTGATGCTAGAGACACAAAAAGCGTCAATCATTACAGCATGCTAAATTATTAAATGACTGAGCAGTCAATTGTCAATGCAAAAGTGAGAAGGTATAATTCCAATCTGTTTCCACTTTTTAATTCTTATACAGGAATTGAAGTATTTTGGGCATAAGCGGACCACTGGTCCATGAGAAATCGCCCTAATGTTTAAATCGCTGCACGGGTGCTTAAATAAGATTTCTTCGTTAGTGCTGTATCTCACTTTTGCACAGTATGAATCAGAAGGCAACACATCCAGCATGGCAAAATGAAACCTTTCACGCCTTGAAAATTAGATTCTGCAATTATTCCGGGGGTTGGAAATTGAGGAAATGTGGAGACTTAACGGTTGTCCAGCTTGAGGTTTGGGGCTGACTGGGGAAATTGAAGGGACAGGCGTGACCGATCTGCTCCGACCCTCCTGGGCCAGACTCATAAAAATAGGATTCCTCTACAAATGAGATTGAGAAAGATATGAAATGAGTTGTGTGTGTGAGAATGGATTTGTGCCTATTGAATGAGTAAGTAAGGATTATCATTTAAATGCATGTCACTTTCCAATGTGATTACCCCGCAACCTTCCAGTTACCTTGTCCAAATTGACTAATTAACTGTGTGTGTCATTAGGAGTGTGGGTTTTCAGCGCATAATGAACGTGTGGTCCTCGAGCCCCGACTGTGTGTCCACTGACCTGCAGCAAAGAGCATGAAGGCAACTGGTGCGTAGAATCGCCGTCTCGTGCCGATGCACACGGCAACCAGAGCGACCAGGAACGACATCAGCACTAGGGCTCCGCCCCCTAGCAACAGGGCCAGCGTAACAACCTGCCAGTCTGGGAAGGAAGGTGGTGGGAAAGGAGGAAAGGAGGAGAGGAAATGAAAGAGGAAGACGCAGGGTTGAGGTGACGGATGAAAGTAGAAAAAGAGAAGGAGGAGATGAGAAAAGTAAGTGAGCAACGAGCAACACGTTGCATACAAAAAAAATCACATTAAGAGAACAGTCATGAATAAATGCAACACTGCAAACGCATATCGGAGCCAGCAAATGAAATGCTAAAGACCTCCAGTGTGGCCTGTGAGGAGATGGAGGCGCAGGAGACATTTTATTTTATATCACTGCTTTTTACACCACCAAGTATGTTTATTAAAGAGAGGACGAGGAAGAAGGTGAGGATGGACGAAGATAAGGTTTAATAAAGGAAAGGGTGAAGAATTCAATAGGATGGGGTCTTGAGGAAGAAAGAAGAAAGAGGAGAAAAAGGGATAGAAGTGGAAGAAAAGATAGGATAAATATGGAGAAGGGGCAGAAGGAAAAGCTGACACCATAAGGAGAGAACGGTGAGGGGCCACGAGTAATAGAAGGAAAGTTTCAAAAGAAAAAGGAAAGTGAGGGTTTGGTGAATAAAGGAAAGAACTGTGAGGCAAGACGACAGGAGATGAGGGAACGATGGATTGACAGAAAAAAAATTAAAGAAAGGTAGTAGAATGGAATGAGCAGGGAATAAAAGTAAAAATAAAAGAAGGGAAGAAGGAAGGAGAAGAGGGGAGAAGGAAGCAAGTGAGGAAGAGGCTGAGGAAATTGCGCATGAAGGATAAACAGATAAATGAAGACACACTTGGAGAGGCCCCTACGTCATGTTACAAGGACAAAAAGGGGGGGGTGGGCGTTAAGAGGAGAGGGTGGTGGTGGAGTTAGAGGGAGTGAGTTGAGGGGATGGAGGACTTGATGGGGCCGGGGACAGAGCATGAGAGAGGGAGAGCACTTAGTACACCTGAACCGACAAAAATCCTCAGCTAAAAAGCTTTACTGGCATGTTATCAAAAATCTGTCCACATTTATATATAGGGAGCACTGTGGCTTGATGCACACTGAAATAGAACACACACTCACTCATAAAATTGGTACCATTTGCATGTCACACTCAGGCTCCAACCTCCCTCCTGTTCTGAATGAAGCCGAAGTGTATTAAAACTTCAGGATCAGGAAAACATTTATTGCCAAAATATGTCAAACATACAAGGAATTTGTCTTGGCGGTTGGTGCGTGACAGCAGACAGTGTAACAATAGACAACAAAACAGCAGTGCACAAGTAATACAAAAGTTTAAAGAATTTAAAATATTTAAAAAGTTAAAAAATATCAAACCTAAAGTGCACTATCGAATAAGTCACAAAGTGACGAGTGACGACAAAGTGACGAGTGAAAAATTACAGTTAAAGTGACATGTGCAGTGTGAAGGGGAGTGACCGGTGGAATGTCAGAGTCAGACAGTGGGGGACCGGGCTCTGTTAATGAGCCCGACTGCTGACGGGAAGAAACTGTTCGTGTGGCGGGAGGTCTTAGTCCTGATGGACCTCAGCCTCCTGCCAGATGGAAGGGGCACAAACAGTTTTTGTCACGGGGTGAGAGGGGTCGGCTACAAACTTTTTAGCTCGCCTCAGAGACCTGGAAGCGAACAAGTCCTGCAGGGACGGCAGATTCCAGCCAATCCCCTCTCTGCAGAGCGGATGACACGCTGCAGCCTGTCCTTGGCTGTGGCTGCAGCGTACCAGACGGTGATGGAGGAGCAGAGGATGGACTCGATGATGGCCGTGTAAAAGTGGACCATCATCATCTTTGGCAGGTTGAATTTCTTCAGCTGCCTCAGGAAGAACAACCTCTGCTGAGCCTTCTTGGTGATGGAGCTGATGTTCAGCTCCCACTTGAGGTCCTGGGTGATTATGGAGCCCAGGAAACGGAAGGAATCCACAATAGTGTTGGAGTCACACAGGGTGATGGGGGAGGGTGGGGCTCTGTTCCTCCAGAAATCCACAACCATCTCCACTGTCTTTAGAGCATTGAGCTCCAGGTTGTTCTGACTGCAGATGGTCAAACTCTCACTAGTAGGCGGACTCATCCCTACCAGAGATCAGTCCAATGAGGGTGGTGTCATCCGCAAACTTCAGGAGCTTGACGGACTGGTGACTGGAGGTGCAGCTGTTGGTGTACAGGGAGAAGAGCAGAGGGGAAAGAACGCAGCCTTGGGGGGAACCGGTGCTGATGGTCCGAGAGGCTGAGACATGTTTCCCCAGCTTCACGTGCTGCTTCCTGTCAGACAGGAAGTCTGTGATCCACTTGCAGGTGGAGTCGGGCACGTGCAGCTGGGACAGTTTGTCCTGCAGCAGAGACGGGATGATGGTGTTGAAGGCAGAGCTGAAGTCCACAAACAGGATCCTGGCGTAGGTTCCTGGGGAGTCCAGATGCTAGAGGATGTAGTGGAGGGCCATGTTGACAGCATCGTCCACAGACCTGTTGGCTCTGTAGGCGAACTGCAGGGGGTCCAGGAGGGGGTCGGTGAGGGACTTCAGGTGGGTCAGGACTAGCCGTTCAAAAGACTTCATGACTACAGAAGTCAGGGCGACGGGCCTTTGAGTCTTTGAGTCCTGTGATCCTGGGCAAGGCAGACTTCATCTCCGGCTTCGCTATCCAGCAGTCGCTTGACTTCCTCGCTCTCACCGAGACCTGGATCACACCTGAGAACACATCCACCCCAGCCGCTCTCTCCTCCGCCTTCTCCTTCAGCCACACACCCAGGCCCACTGGCAGGGGAGGTGGCACAGGTTTACTCATTTCACCCAAATGGAGCTTTTCTCTTTACCCTCTTCCACCATCCACCCCACTGTCTTTCGAATTCCCTGCTGTAACAGTTAGTCACCCGGTGCAATTAACAATTGTTGTCCTTTACCGTCCGCCAGGCTCCTTGGGTCATTTCTTGGAAGAACTGGACATTCTCCTGTCCAACTTCCCTGAAAATGGCCCGCCGCTCATCCTCCTGGGTGACTTCAACATCCAGACAGAGAAGTCATCTGACCTCTTACACCTACTTTCTTCTTTCGCTCTGTCACTCAGTCCCTCTCCTCTTACTCACAAAGCCGGCAATCACCTTGACTACATTTACTAGAAACTGCTCTACCACTAACCTCTCTGTAACTCCACTTCATGTGTCTGACCACTTATTCATCTCTTACTCTCTTCCACTGTCTATAACTAACGACCCTGCCCCATTGACTGACTCTGTACC